TCCGTTGGTAGTTTATTTAATTCATCATATCGATATTATTAGCGATGATCGAAGTTATTAACTATTAATAATATTAATAACGCATTACGTATTGATTTTTTCATTATTAACTAAAACTCAGAGGTCCCATCACTATAGAATTATTATTAATATTATGGCATTATAACTAATGAACTAATTAAAATTCAATACATTATATTAATAAAGATTAATACAAATTAATACTGCATAGTAATGACAAATGATTGCAATTAGTCTAGTTCTACGAAATACATCTAATGTTTAAAATCTACATGCGGAATATGCGGTGCGCAAGAAAAACTTGGAATCTGCGGGTTTTATGTGTCATACATGTCACGCATCTTTTTTTTTTTGAATTTTTATTATGCTTGTAAAAATTATCAAGCTTTCCACTTATTGAAATAAAATTGAATTTAAACGCTGAATATATATATCACAAATAAAAGAAAAAAACAAAATCATAATATAAATGGAACGTTCGTCCGTTCTCACCGGTTATAATGACCAGATCTGATTCTTTTGGTTTCAGAAATGATCTCCTAAATGAGATAATTTCGAGCTTGATGTACACGAATAGGACGGGTGTATAAATTTTTTTGATGGAAACGGTTTCTTATAGCATTATATCGATTTACCATATATGCGAGATTTTTGTATACATTTCTTTGAGTGCGATTTTGTCTATGTTGAAGCAGGGATAAAAAATAAGTGGTAGCCATTCGTATAGCTTGTTCATCATTAATGTGAGCCATATTACGAGCTACATATTCAACATTTAACGCTATCATTGCTCGTTCGTTTGTCGTTTTTAAAGGATTTGGCATCAAACGTACAATCTCTTCAATATCGTTGATGACAGGATTATTAAGAAAATTTGGATAAAATTCTATAATGTGTTCAATAATTTGTTCATAGCTCATTTTCGCGTTGTTTATTCTATATTGCGGAATTTTTTTGAACTAGGTCTGAAAATGTAGAATTTATATTCTTTGTCCATATGCGGTATTATATAATTAATAATTATAAACAACGAATAAATAATTGATAAATCATTTAAAAAAAATTTAATCAAGTCACACATGATCGGGCAAATAATACGAAAATCATAGTATATAATATTTAATATGATATTTTTTTAGATAATATTTATATAAGCAATAGGAAAAATTAATTGTATAAAACCACAAATTTATATACTTGCAGATTTTGATATATATATATATGATAAACTTAGGATAGATTTGTAAGAGAATATAAGCATTTCGTCAAGGTCAAGGCTGTAATTTCGGTTTATCGGTTATATAATTTCGATTTATATAAATTTCGATTAATTCGATTTATACAATTCGAATTTATATAAATTTGATTAATTCGATTTATACAATTCGAATTATATAAATTTGATTTATACAATTCGAATTTATATAAATTTGATTAATATAAATCCGATTTGTACTATTCCAGGGATGGTAAAATGCCATTTGATCCAAATTCAAATGACCCTCAGCATCAATAATGACCAGCCATTTAAGGTCATCAAATCATCAGGTCATTTCTCATGTGCTATAATTTATAGTTATTGCACGGGTGTCTGACATAACAATTCCGTGCCAATAAGTAAATGAAAAAAGCAGCACGAGTTGTCCCGTGCAATAATTTTTATTGGTTAAGTATATATTAAGTATATAGATTCTATACGATCTATGTAGATTGTGTTTTGGCATTAAATGAAAATTTTTTTTTCATAGACACCAAACGCATTAATAAAAGACTTGGTGAAATTTGATTATATATATAACGATGTTTATAAATTGTATTTTATAAAAATTAATTTCTGGCCCATAGCCAATTTTGATTGGCTGAAAGGCATCATATTATCAATTAGACTATTTAGGTTTAAATGACCTTCTTAAGTCATTTGGGATGTTAAATGACCAATGACTGGTCATTTGAATCATTTGAGTTTTTCAAGTCATTTACCATCCCTGTACTATTCTGTTTACATAAATTTCGATTTAGGTAGGATTTATCATAGTTCGTACAATAAATTGAACGATGCCATTAACGCTAAGTAATTGAAATCATTGTTTATCCTGCGCAAATTTTCAAAAATTTTTCCCCAAAAATGGGTCGTCTAAAGCCAGATATATAGTTTTTAAAATTGATTACTAACAAATTTGTAAATTAAAAATCACATGACACATATAAATTACTACTGGCTTTAGACGATCCCCCAAAATGGGTATTCTTAAAATAACTCCGAAAAAAATAATATCCGTCAATCGTCACCATACGTTTCACAAACGCTTAGCAACCGATTTTCACGCGTTTCCGTCTTTTCACACATGTTTCCACCCTGAAATGTATGAGACAATAGGCTTATATAATTACGTTTATACGGTGAGAGTCATCTCATCGCATCAAAATCAAATGTTCGTGTTACTTTGTATTTCAAGAGAATTAAATCGTTAGATGGTAATAATATCATAAAGCGAAAATTTTTTGACATTCTTATATTATAGTAACTGTTATCTTTTTGATCAAGAAAGTAAAATCCCCAAATTTTGTAGCCTGATATTCAAAGCTACAGAATTATGGTGATTTTCCTTTTTTTCGTTTCGAATTTGTGTGCAATTTTCGATACTTGCACCATATAATTGGTAGTATCAAATTATATATAGTTACATCGTTACCACGGTGCAAACCTTTCATATAATATTACAATATGGTAGATCGGACCAGTGTTGGTAAATGACCTACGTACGTACGTACTGTACATGACTCAAATGAATAATGACCGGTCATTGGTCATTTTAAAGCCTTAGGTTATTTAATATTTGTTAATTACCGTACGGTACTGACTGTAATACCCTGGGTACTATTCAATAAACCATTAATATTATTTTATAAGGATCTCGAATCTAAATATATATAATACCCGGTCATTTTCAATTTTCTGAATCATGAACCCATGAATTGTACCGGGTCTTTTTCATGGGGAATATATAGTGGGGTACTGTAGTCAGTGCCATACGGTGATAATCTAATACCTTCTAACCAATTAAATTGATTATTAAAAAAAACAAAATAATGAAATATTTTCCCGGACTTTTTCGGCTCTGATAGGAGCCGAAGAGGAAAATTCGGGTAAATAACTATTATTTATTTCGCAAAGGGGAATAAAAAATAAATTCCCAGGGGCCCAAACGGCCCTCGGCAGGCCGAAGCAGTGAAAAAAATTGACGTGCGCTACGTTCATTCTGCACGTAGACCTTATTTTTTGTGCGCATTATGCACATTGATTTTAAAAATAATGTATGGCATACGCACATATTTTACTAATAATAATATCACGTGATGTGCGCTATAATCAATAACTTTTCGAGCGATTGATACTTTAAAATTTTAATATTTTCTCAAGTCATTGATATAGTCTTTAACCAATTAAATTATTATTCACTTTTCTATAGGTCTTCCTCTATGCGAATAAGATCATTCAATCGAGCAATAATAATTAATTTTTATGACTTAAATAACTTGAATCTAATTCGAATAAATTAACCAGATCAAATGATTTGAGTACTTTTTATGTTTATGATTACAAGTTGACATGAGTTCAAGACTAAATTGAAATTATAATACACCAGAAATAAGAACGAATTTAAAGTTTTTAATATTCTAGAAAATAATATAAAAATATCAAATTGAATATAGTTTAAAAATTATAAATTATATGTGATATGATTGAAATTTCTAAGAATTAATAAGCGCATATTACTTTTAAAATTTAGGGACTATTCTAGAGTTATGACCCGAAACTATATATAAAATCCCGAAGCCGAAACCCGAAACCTTTTCCGAAACTCTAATACTATACTGAAAGGCTTAGAATTTCAATTTAGACTTTAAGACATAAAGTACATGATAATTAGATTGCATTTCAGAAATGGTTTGATTACTTTATAGTAAATGTGCATTAGTTGTTATTAACATTCTAATTCGGAAAGGTTTCTGGTTTCGGATCACAACTCTAGACTATTCCCCGTAGTGGTAAATAAGGATATTATTCCTCGTTTTTATATCTTATAAACATTACTTTGATCAATAAAAAAATTGAATTTCTAGCAATGCTTGTTGTTTCCCCGAAGTCCGAGGAAATAACAAGCATTGCCAAAAGATTAGTTTTTTTACTGATTAAAGTAGTGATTATAAGTTGTAAAAACTCCGTCATGCGATCATACCGTACAAGCGCGAGCGTTAGTATCGACTGCATATCATTTATCGCAACAATAAATTATGTGCTACATTAGGATGTGCGTTAATTCGGGACGTTTATGAAAGGTTATGAAAGGTCTGATTTTCAAAATAACGCCCACGAGCGTTATTTCGCTATAGAAACGTGAAATAAGCAAGCTCGTTATAGTCACTCTCAATA